CACACCAGGCAATAAACCCAAATCCTCACAGATGACAGGATGGTTCACAAAGCCACTTCACCTCCACACTAGCATGCAGTATGCCAGTCTTGGCGGGCAGAAGACAGGTATTACTGCTGTTATTATCATTCATGTCTATTTTACAGGTGGGAAACTGAGGCTAGGGATTAAGTACCCTTCCAAGGGTCTATAGCTGGGAAACCAGAGTGGTTCCTGAACCAAGAAGTCTTTCCCATGTCACAGCTATTTGGGACCCTGTGGTTTATGCCACTGAAATTAAGTGCCAAGAGATAGCAAGAATGGGGTACCCAGTGACATCTTTAATGAGGGAACTTCAGGCACTGGTGAGGGCGAGGCTTGGAGAGGCCTTCCCATGCCACTGTGAAGAGGGTCCTGTGCTGGGGCATCTCGGGGGAGGGTGGAGGACAAGGGTACAGAGATGTTCACGTGCCTAGGCCAGGCAGTGGAGATGAGACACCCATTTAGACCCTGGCTCATCACCTCCTATTTCTATGACGCACAGTGAAGGACTGCCTGAATGTCAGATGACCCTATGAGGCAACAGGAAGTGAACCAGGCTTTGGGGCCAGCAAGCTCCCACCAAGAGCTCCTGGGCATACATGTCCATTGCAGGAGACCAGTAGGGCCAGCTGGGGCCACCTGTCAGGCCCACTGAGGCAGACATCCTGGCATGGGCAGGGGGGAGGACCAGACCACCTTTGGGCTGCCTGAGGCTGCTGGGGGAGCAAGGCCTGACTGCCGATGGCTAGGATGAGCAGCAAACCCCCAAGAAGGGTGAATGGGGGCCAGGCCTGTGGCCAAAGTTGAATACAGACAGGCTCATTAGATCCTCACAACATCTCAGCGAGATATGAACTATTATTCTCCCATTTTCCAGATAAGAAAATGTAGTCTCAGGGACCTGAAGTGACTTATTTGAGGTCCTGCAGCCAGGGGAATCAAAATACTTGAACCCGGATCCATCCAGTCAACGCCAAGCAGTTTCCAAGCTCCTGCCACACCCCCTCAGGGCTGCCCTTCCCCCAGAGCTGTGCTGAGAGGCATTAAAATACAGCTTCCCAGGCCTCAGAGCCCATGGGTGGGACTCCAGTATCTGGGCTGGGCCCTGGCATCTGCATTTGAACCAGCTTCTGGGAAATGCTGGCTCAGATGAGAGTCCCAGACTCAGGATGAGGGTGCCTCCCCCAGAGGACATCGGAGTCTCTGCCTGTGGTGCCGAGATTGGGGCAGACAGACCCGGGTTCGATTTTGCTTTCAATGGTTTGGCCTCAGCTTTCCCATCTGTAAAGTGGGGCTGCCTACTCCCTGTCACTCTCCTGAGGGTGTCACAGGGACTCAAGGAGGCAGAGGATGGTTCTATGAGCAATAAAAGGGCTAGACATGACAGTCGTTATCACTCCATTCTCCAGGCTGGTGGCCTGGGGTCATCCCGTTTCAACTAGCCAAGTGGGCATTTAAGTAGCACCACTGTGTACAGGGCATGGGGTGATGTGGGACTTAGGACCAGCTATCAGTGACCCAAGAGGCAGGGTGAGGGCAAAGGGATGGAGGTGTAAGGAGCAGTCAGGATGCAGACAGGTCCCTGAGCTTAGGATCTGGTGGCAAAGACCTCCCAGAGGAAAGGTGCGGCCGGGGCGGGGGTTGTGCTTGGCTGCGTCGAGCCGCACAGACGCCAGGCAGCTGCAGCTGGCTGCTGCTCCTCACGTGAGTGGGCAGGGGCTGAAGGAATGGGGAGCCAGGTAGGGCCCACAAATAGCAGAAAAAATAATAAAAGGACAATCAGATGGCAACGTTTATTCAGCCCCTACGAGTCAGCCACGCGCTAAGCAATTACTTAGTGAGATCCTTACTCGGTTGGGAAATGGGCTCAGGGTCTCAGGTTCTCTCTCTGTAAGATGGAGATAGCATGTAGTCCAGGGTCTGGCATACAAGAAGTGCTCAATAAATGGAAGCCACTAGTGGTAGCAGCAGCAGGGGCAGGTGTGTGTGACCCCAGTGCCTAAAGCTTCGATGTTCTTCCAGTTTCCTGAGGACCTAATAGTAACATTAATATTGCTATTAATGTTAATGACAGCTAAGTCAGACACTTCCAAGTGCTTTATGTGCAATAACACACTTAATCCTCATAACACCCTATGAGATAGGAACTATTATCAAACCCATTTCGCAGGTGAAAAACTGAGGCTCAGAGAGGTCAAGTCAGTGACCCAAGGGCATACAGGTAAGTGGAGACCAGGATTAGAACCAGTGCCCAAGCCCTTAACCACCATGGGTACCGATTGTCAGAGTCACCCGCCTCCAGAGAGTCTGTTCCACAGTGGCGCCCAGGACCCTGGTTTGTTTACAAGGCCTCCGCTGGCATTCAAGGGGCTTTGATGGGACCCACACCTTGAGAAATCTGCCAGCAGGAGCTCACCCACACTCTTCCCTGTGGCCCCAGCGCCAGGCAGCTCTGTGAGGGCAAAAGGAGCCATTTACTGAGCAGGAGAGGGGTGCGCACCGCCAGACACTGGGAGGTCTGTTGGCTATAGGGTGAGGGCGGGTGGGGGCTGG